GGTTGTGTGGACAACGTCCCTACGTTGGATTTTTTGGTGCAGAACGTCCCTACCTATGCATTTTCTTGCGCAAAACGTCCTGATCCCTAATTTTTAACTTAAAATGACCTATATACCCTCCAATTGAAATAAAACAAAAAGGAAAAGAAAAAAAATAAAGAATAAATTACAATTTGCTCTTAAACTTTTTTAAAATGCAAATCAGTCCAAAAAACTAAGGGATAATTGCAGCAAACGTATTAAAACCTAAAATAATTATAAAAAAAGAAAAGGAAAAGAAAAAAGTCACTATTCATCACCTTCTTCACCCGCCCCGCCCCCCGCCCCAAAAATCAGAAACGCCTCCACCACCGTCTCCACCATCTTCTCTTCCCTCTCCCCGCTCCGTTTCGCCCCAAAAATGTTCATAAATTTTTTTAAGAATGTAAATCAAATATGGACTATAATTATGTTTTGCCCCACTACATTCAAGTCCTTTCCCCACACTACTCAACTATACTTCGTCAGAATTAGATTAGACAGTCCCAAAGGATGAAATGAAACATGACTCAAGCATATAAAATTATTAAGTGATTTTTTGTAATTAAGCTTGCTTTACTTTTTACTCGAGCCTGACACTAAGTTGTACTTTCTTCATAGGATGCATAGATTAATCCATAGGAGATGACATAATGTGAGTGAGGTGGGACTCGCGCTACTATAGCATGGACCCCACCCCCACCCCCACTCACATTATGTCAACCCCTATGTGTACACCTATGTACACATAGCATGTCGCTTGTTCGTATTACTACTTTTGACGAATGCTACATTATCAGGTCTGCATGGGCCCTTAATGGTTTTAAAAGATAATATAAAATGTCATTTTTTAAGTTTTGTGTAATTTTATCTTATTATTCATTGCATCAAGTCACCAACAGGTAAGACAGAAAATTCACTTTCTAGGCATGTTTGAGCAATAAAATAATTTTATACATAAATTTTTTTTAAAAAAATTCATATTTACTAATTACACATTATTCAAAAATTTACTATTACAGAATTTATTTTCGCCGGAGACTCAAACATAGGCTTAACTCAGAGGCAGAGCCAACCATTTCACTTTCCCTCTTTCCTGCCATTTTTGACAAGTATGATGATGACTGAAAATTACGTGAACTATGTTGTCAGCCACAAAAAATTGCAATTATTATACACGAATGACAGATCATTATTGCTGTACTCACGCTAACAGCGTGAGAAACGCAGAGCCGAGAAAATACCATGTATGAAACACATTGAGAGTCTTATCTAACGAAAATGTCAATAAAAAAACTGTATTCTTTTCACATTCACTACAAGAAAAATGATTTTTTTGCAACGGGATTTAGCATTGTATATATTTATATTGAGTTCCTCAATGTTGCCGTAAAGTATACGGATATAGCAAGAGTTAATGTTTGTTGCTAAAAATGGATTGTGCGTTGTCATTAATATTGACTTATGGTTAACTTTATGTTTTGAGTATAACAAACAAGTTGTTTTTATATCTAACAATTGAATTCAAGTGTTCATAGCTATTGTTGTAAAGTTGATCAATTAAAGACAAAAAAGATCGCTACCGAAAGACTGACAATTAACGATCAAAGGTAAGAACAACCCGAACATTCACGTCAAATTGATCAAAGACGAGAACAAATCGAGCATTCACTTTAAGTCGATCGAAAATATTAGACTTAAATGTCTTGGATTCATATGTAAAGGTAAAATACTTTAATCCTTTGTAATGAATCATTAAAAGCTCAAAAGATGAATTTTTATGCACAAGAAAAAATTATTTCATAAAAATGTTAGCATAAAAATTATTTTTCAAAATATAAGAATTTAAACTTGTCATTTAAAATTTTTAGAAGTATCACTTACCTTGAAAAATTAAGTGAACTTTCTTCAAAAGCCTACATTTTTCAAAACATTCAAGAAATTAAAATTTGGAAAAATAATGTCGAAGCAGACGTCCGGTTGGCCTAACGGACGTCTGGTTCGTCCAAAGGTCGAATTTTTAATCGTCTTGAATTTTGACACACAACGGTTAGTTTGGTTATCCGATTCAGTATGCAGACGTCCGGATGGGTTGTCCGATTCGACAGAAATTTTGGTGTTTTGACAATTATAAATACCATATCACTTTGCAATGAATATAACACTTTTGAGAGCATTTAGGTGAGTTATTCTTGAGCAAAATTATATTGATCTTACATCTTACTTATCTTTATCAAATCATTTACTTTGAAAAACTTTTGATTGAATTAACTTTTAAAAATCATTATACTCATCAAAGTTTTTCTCACCTAACACTAGAATTTCATTCATAGTTATTTATTAAAGTGTTAACCTATTTCTCTCTTGGTACTTAATTTGATCATATAATTTATTAAAAGAGAAATTTCAAATTGTAAAATCAACCTCCTTTAAATTTGTGGGTAGTGTTAAGGTCTCGTAAAGCTCAACATTGTGTAAAGATCGATACTCCTTATTTGTAAATCACCAGAAGTATTGTAAATGTTTGGATTGCATCATAAGTCAATCAACATAATGAACAAATCTTGTTCGTGCCGGAAGCTTGGTAATGGATGACGTAGATCATTGATTTAGATCGAATTTCCACAATTATATCGTTTGCATCCCTTTTACTTATCGTTTTTAGATTTGTGCTTATCTTTTGAATTTATCTATTTATTTTTTACTTGCTTGAATTTAGATTAGCTCTATAAAAAAGTTTTAAAAATCAATTCACCCCCTCTTGGTGAGTTATTCTTGGGCTTTCTATTAATATCTTAGCAAAGTACAATTAGATTTTTAACAAAGCACATTTACACGTAGTGGTATCAAAGTGCAATTAGATTTTTAACAAAGTGCATTTACACGTAGTGGTATCAAAGTGCAATTAGATTTTTTAACCAAGTGCATTTACACGTAGTGGTATCAAAGTGCAACATCATTTATCTACACGTAGTGGTCTTTCACCAGCGTTCATTTGCTCATTTGTTTACTTTTCAACATCATTTATCTACACATTGGATTTACATTTCTACAACATTCAATATACGTTTTCTTTATTTTTTAAATACCTTCATTTGTACGTGATCTTTGAATTTTTACAACAATTTACGCACATTGTCGTTTATCATGGACAACAATACTAGGATGTTGTCTTTACTTTTAAGCAAGATTCAATTGTACATTATCTTTTATGTTTTACGTTCTTAACCCTTGTTTGAACTCCCATTATTTGGAAATGATGAATTTTTGAATAGTAGAGTAACGGAGAATGTGTGATTAAAAAATAAGAAAAAATTTTGGATTTACGTATAATATTATTTTATTGAAAAATGTGTAATTTAAAAGAAGAAAGAGAAAAAATGAATTTTTGAAATAATGGGAATCAAATAAATGCTTAATAATTTAAATTCATATTACATTCTACTGTGTATATAATAAAACCCATACCACACACAACATCGGCCCTTGAATAAAATTTATGCAATAACGATGAAATATGTTCAACTCCCTGTTTGGTGCAGTTAAAAATTAGATTTTTAATATATTTCGATAAAAATTGATAAAATGTGTAACTGAAAGGTCGTAAATCTCATGAGATGAATAGTAAAAATTAATCATTGATTTTTAATTAAATTTTTATAAACATTTTTTTAGCTCTACAAAATATGTGATTGTTTGGTAGGGATTTTTGGGGGAAGAATTGATTTTTAAATAGTGATATGATGAAAAATGTGTGATCGAAAAAAAAGAAAAAATTATTAATGTGATAAAAATAATATTTTATTGAAAAATGTGATTAAAAATAAGAATTGATATCAATTCTCAAATTAAAAACAAACACCCCTAAATAATAAAATAGTAGAATTTGTAATTTATCATATAAAATATGGCTCATAGGTCATAATGCCTACGCAGCAGTTGAGCAGCTATTACTTTTCCATGATCGAGTATAAGAAAAGACTGC